CCTAAACCCTAAACCCTCAAGGATGGAGCTTCAGAGCTTCCAGGCCATAGGGCTATGGGCTTGAGGGTTTTGGGGGGGTTTAGGGTTTAGGGTTTAGGGTTTAGGGTTTTGGTGTTCAGGCTTCTAGGGTTTTGGGATTTGGGGGTTTAGGGTTTAAGGGTTTAGGGTTCTAGGGTTTTGGGTTTTGGAGGTTTAGGGATTTGGGGTTTAGGGCTGTGTTAGCATGAAACTTGGGAGTGATTGCGACGAGCATCCCGAACCCTAAGCCCAACACCGTAAATCCTGCTTGGCCTAGGGCTCGAGCCCTGGACATCAACTCCTAAACCGTAAACCATAAACCCGAAGCCTTCAGAACCTAAACCCTGAACCCTGAACCCCTAACGCTTCAAAAATGAATACGTAAACCCTAAGCCCTAAACCCTAAACCTTCAAAACCATAAACTTTCCATGCCTTAGGGGCCATTATCCCGCCTTAGTTACCAAGTCCTTGGATCCTTTTAAGGGGTTTGGGGTTTAGGGGTTCAGGCTTTAGGCTTAATTAGGGGTTTTTAGGGTTTAGGGATTAGGGTTTAGGGTTTAGAACTGTAAGCAAGCCCTACAAATCGGGGCAGATGCCAAGCAAGTGACGGTGAACTCATCGCCTTCCTCCGCGACCACCAGGATATTCCTAACATGTTGAGGGGGTTTAGGGTTTAGGGTTTAGGGGTTTGAGGTTTTCGAGTTGAGGGGTTTCATAAAGGCACATGAATAATCAGAATAGGGTTGTGGGGTATCCTATACGATAACTGTAATAGGGAAGCCCCCCAAAATAGCATAGGTAAATATTTAGGTCGTATTGGTCTGTTGCAGGGTTTTGGTCTTTTGTCATAGGCTAAGTCCGCAATGTGTTGTAAGTGCTTGGGGGTTAAAGGGCCTTTAAACGGGATGAGCCCGCGACAGTAGAAACTTGCAGGCTGTAGATGAAGCCTAAACCCTAAACCCTAAACCCTAAAACCCTAAACCCTACACCCTAAACCCTATTATAGTGAACTTAGGCCCATTGGGGCACTAAGTCGAGCTTTTGAGGTGTGGGAAGTCTGTGTTTCGGCCCTTTCTTTGGTCTTAGCACAGCGTAGAGGTTCGGGGTTTAGCGATTAAGGTTTAGGGGTTATGGGGGGATTAGGGCTAGGGTGTGAGGGTCATGCTTCTGGGTTCTTTGGAGAATCACAGTCACCAACCCGAAACCGTAATCCAGAAACTGCAACCCCAACCACTCTGAAATATACCCTGCAGACTACATGATACTGCTGTTGATGGCATGCATCCTGTATTACCTTAAGGACCTCAAACTCTCGGAATTTTGGCATATTCCTCAATATGGGTATTGCAGGATTTATAATTTATATCACCAACCCTATCAAAGAGCTTAAGTAAGGTCTCCAAGCCCTAACCCTAAGGGTCCATGTGCCCAAATAGTAGATACTTCGGCCCCAAAGCACCCAAATAAGGGACTATTGTAAGGCCGAAGTAAACCCTAAACCCTAAACCCCTACCAGCCCCAATGCACGGTAGCAAGGCAAGGCCGGGAAGCTCTGGCTTGATGTCGCGGTGAACGACGCCCTGCAGCCGAACCCCTCTTTAGGGGTTTGGGGCTTTAGAAGTTTAGGGGTTTGGGGGTTTCGGGTTTAGGGTTTAGCGGTTTAGGGGTTTGGGGTTTAGGGTGGGTTTAGGGTTTAAACTGGACTTTGAGGTAACCAGGGAGGAAAAGCTATACACTTTGATTTCAGAATGCACCTCTAAACCTTAAACAACAAAATCCTAAACCCTAAACCCCTCCTTTGAGAACAAGTGTTCAGGCCTGGTAGTCCAGGATCCAGATCCAGGATCTTCAACAGGGTTTAGTGGTTTGGTTTTGGTTTGGAGTATCTAAGGGTTCAGGGTTTTTTGTTTAGGGTATAGTGGCTTAGGGGTTTGGCTTTGTGTTTAGAGTTTCGAGGTTTTGGGTTTAGGGTTAAGGGGTGTAGTGCCTATCGGTGTAATGGCAGGATACCTTGCTAGGCAGTTCCCTTCGTCAGATCGGAACCCGTACAGAAAGCATTCTCGAATCCTTGAGGAAGCCTTGTAGAACTCTTAAGCGGACCTTTATAGAACCCTTAAAAGGGGCCCTTAAAGGAACCCCTGTAGAACTTCAAGGGGCCGAACCGGAGCAAGAGCCGAAACGTGAGCGGGATACTGGTAATGTAGGGGCCTTAATTACTAGAATAGGGTTTGGGAGCCCCTTTTACTATAAGTATAATAAGGAACCCCAAAACAGTATAGGTAATTATTTAGGCACCTACATTAGGCTTCAGTGACTTGGGGTTCAGGGTTTTGGGTTTCAGGGCCTTGGGGTATAGAAAGATGGCCGGTTGTGTGTGTACTTGGCGCTGAGACCCCAACCCATCAAGCAGCAGAGCTGTCATAGACAACGCAGAAACCATCATGACCTTGACATTAGGTGTGAAACCGTCGGAAACTTGCAAAGCAAGCCAAGAAGTCTGATCCGGGGGGATGGAGGCTGACCTGGATGCAACGAGCTAGCATCCCACTGTCCCGGCCTAAAAACCCTGAAGCCCTAAATCCTGAAACCAATGGCCAATGACGGCGTACCTCTCTGGAAACCAACCCTAAAACCCTGGCGACCCGCCCCTCCCTGAACCTAAAACCCTAAAACCCTAAAACGCTAAACC